AGAACAGATTTGAAAAAACAATATTCACATTGATTACAATAACTCTAAAAATGATTGTAATGTTCAAACGGCACTTAGTTTACAAAAAAGTCACAAAAATATATATATATATATGTCATCACCAAGAACTATGGTTCCTGTAAAATACTAATAACCAGAGACTAATATACAAAATGTGAAGTTCTGACACTGCGTACATTTTTAGGAAATAAAATCCCAAACCATTGTTGTTATTGTTGAAAGTCAAACATGCTGAGGAACTTGTAAGTGATGGCCACTGTCACCGAGAAAAGCCATACTTGAACGAGATGACTGGATACAGAGCTGGTGAACGGGGTGGGGGGCTGGCGCAGTGGAGAGAGCTGCGCTGGTTGTAGGAGGGGGTAGAAGACAAACACCATCTACATAATTTAATTCACATTTCCTCCCCGGCACTACCCTCCTCCAAGGGTTTCACAAATGCCAGTGCCCCACAAAGAACCATAATGCTGTAACTAGCAGGTCTCCCCAGCCTCCTTGATGCCGGGCTATAGGAAAGCAGATGCCCTGTGGGGCAGCTTCCTGCTGGGCTGGTGGTACTACAAAGTCCTCCAGTTTTAAATGGAGCCAGACTTACATGTTCGCTCTGTAAAATATTGAGCTAAGGTAGCAGCAAATATGAAATTACAGAAATAAACCCACGATTTTATTTAAGAAATTCATCTGTTACATCAAAACAATTTTTTCCTTCATATCTGTCCCCTTTAACCAGACATCGACTTCTTCTACCACGGAATTATGATCTGTTGTCTCAGTCTGACTTTCTCATTTTGTCGCTATGGAAAAACACATGTCCTGATCCTGGAAAGTTTAAATTTACTGTTAAAAATGGGAATACAGGAATTTTAAAGTAAAAGAACCAAGTCTGTTCTAAAAGTATCTCTCACAAATATATATATATTTAAATATTAAAATAGGCTAATAGACTCTTTATAAAATGGCTTTTGAAAAGATAGTAGAGACTCGAAGAAGCCATACACTATCCTCCGGTCGGACTAAGGTGCCATAGGGTGCCTTACACAGAGGCAGCGCTCTCCACTGATGCAGGAGCACCAGGAAAACAACAGAAAAATCAACTACTCCTGGGACTTGGATTGAAACCAAATTCCACCCTTTTAGGACTGTTATTTCTTGAAAATACCTTGAAATCTAGGCATTAGAAGCCATCACTCTGTACAAGGAACAAGTCTAAGGATTGGACTCCTTCCAAATAAATACCCGATGGCACTCACTTCAGGCACCTGAAAGACGAAGAGCAGCGCAACTCCCAACAACGTGCTGGACTCCTGTCAGCGTGAGGGCCTTGACTCGGCATCTGCCGCCTGCAACACCAGCTGACTCAGAGAAAGCTCTTGGAGAAGCTGCCTGAATGCTCCCCGTCTCTGAATGACCAGCCCCACCGACACCCAGGGGAGAAGGGTGGGGAGACGAGGGTCCCTGGAGAACAGGACTTCCCTCAGCAGGAGACAGACTGTGTTTGGTGACGTAACATTCATTTACAATGAGATTTTTTTAAACGTAACTGAATAATGAAACCTGGATATGGTTAGGTGGCATTTGGGAAAAGGACAATTTAAAAGAAATTATGAAACTGTAGCCCCCTAAACCATCAGGCAGCAATTTTATCAATGAATCATCACAATTGAGCTCAGTGTTTTAAGCTAATCAGAAAAATTGTTCAACTGAGAAGAGAAAGGCAATAAAAAATTGATTTTAGAAAGAGGCACTTCAAACTAAAATTTAAATCCCCCCCCCCCCCCATGGTGTGGCTCAGCGGTTGCGCGTCAACCCAGGAGCCAAGAGGTCACCGGTTCATTCCCAGTCAGGACACATGCCCAAGTTGCAGGCTTGATCCCCAGTGGGGGGCATGCAGGAGACAGCCAATCAATGATGTTTCTCTCTCACTGAGGTTTCTATCCCTTTCCCTTCCTCTCTCTCTAAAAATCTTGGGGGGGAAAATGAGTTTAAAAAATTTTAAATATGTTTTTGTTCTCTATCAATGGTCTGAACTCCTCGTTCTTTGTAAACGGTCATGTAAACAGGAACCCTGGCATTGGCTGGAACTGCCCAGGGCCTATGCAGAGGGAGGTTGCTCAACTCAGACTCTCAGGCAGGCCCATTGCTCAGATACTGCCAACTGAGTCCTGTGCCATCGCCTTCCAGTGCGCAGAGGCTATTTGTAAAGGCAGAAATGCATGGATCTGTTACTTTTTCTAATCATAAAAGTACACCTATGATGTCACCAAGTCTTCTCCCAAAAGCTGACAGATTTAAATTTCTTATAATTCTAAAAATGAACTATCCAGGTGTCAGTTCCTTAACTGAACCTGAAAGCTGGCTCACTTTCACTTCATTGTTTAATCTGAACCATTATTGCTCTTTGCAAATTTGTCTTGCTGAGGGCTATCCATATGGTAAGACAACCCAAAGATAAAAATGGGTCCAAGCAAAATAAGGAGTTACTTACGAGTTTGATGATTTTAACGTAAAGCCTGTAGGACTATGTTCAGCTATAACTATTCCTCACAGACGTGTTTACTATAATGGAGATTCCCCCAATTTTGTTTCACTGCTTCAGAAAAAAAAATCATGCTTCTATATATTCTTTTAGTAACTTTCAAAACATAAATATATTATAAATAAAGCATCTTATGTCAATAACACACAGTGGAAAAACCACATTACCTTTTAGCAACTTTGGGTCCTTTCAAAGCGAACTTGGAGGCCTCCCCCCAATTAATATTACCACCTAGAAAACTACGATCCCTCACTTGGACGTATATTTCAGTTATAACTTCACCTTTCCCAGATGAGTGGAAATACTTAAGTGCTGCATGAAAGTTTCTCATTCTCTTCAATTCCTCAAATCTCAAACTTTTCAGTTAAATACTACAATTTTAGGATTGTTCATTCATCAAGTACTAATTCTCCCCATGTACTCCTCAGTATACATCACCACACAGTAATGTTGTTTTTTCCCCAGGGACTACAAAACTGAAGAGATGAACACACGATCTGAGAGTCTTCAAAATAAAAGCCACTAAACCAGACAACTGGCCTCTATTTAGATTAAGGTAAGTACAAGAATACAAAATAAGAAATAAAATACTGAAAGAGCAATACAGCTTTCAAAGGCTCCCAGGGAACGGTGTCCACATCAGGAGAGACTGACTCAGTAGTCTGCAGGTAACAGTGTTAGCAATAATAAATACGTCACATGTGCTGGCTAGTCCACCGCTTTGGTAAAACACTTGAGCGAAATGGAAGCTTTTTTGTTTTGAAAGCCAAAGGGCATTATGTCATAACAAGGAACCAAATTACTGTAAGCCAGAGTGCTTGCTGAAATATAGGACGGCATGAGGCTATTTAAACATCTTAGTACACTTTGTCTCACTGAAATCAAGAACTTTAAAAACTGACAATGTAACTAAATGTATAACTAATTACTTGAAATAAAAATTAAGATGACTTGAAATTCAAATGAAGAAAAATCAATTTAAATATATTTGCGGGTGACAAACTCCTTCTGCTTCCCTTTACAGAAAACTTAAAATTCCAAAAATATTAAATAAAACCCAATATTCACCTGTTTCTGAATTAGTATAATCACTGACACGCCCGATGTGTCCGCTGTTAGAAATGGAGCGCGACTGCAGGAACTTAACGGCCAGTGCACCACTGCAAACATCTTTCTCATTTCTAAACTATATCACACGTATGTGGTAACTTAAACATGGAAAATACATGTGTTTCTTGTATAAAATACTTGGTTTTAAAAAGGCAATTTATTCCATATCCTAAAATTTAAGCCCTTTAAATATCAGTTACCCTCTTGGGCCTTAAAAAAGACAGGTATGTTTAAGTATTCTAAACTGGACTCTTTAATGTTTAATTATACTGACAGTTTCTAATGACTGAGATAATGTAACTGGCTTTCATCTGTTTGCAATGTTTTCCATATATATTCTGGTAAAAATTACATATCCAAACATCCCTCACTTGCATGAATCTTAAATAAACCCAATTACCACTATGTACAATTATCCCTCGAAAGGAAACTATAAGCCAAATATCCTTAAACTGTGCTGTCAAGAAAAACGTGAGCCTCCCTGAAAGAGAGAAGGCCTTTGTTTATATCGTTTTATGTTAAATTCTAGTTAGTTAACCATATTGCTAAGATTTGGGAAGAAGACAAGTAACTAAGTATGCATTTTCACAGTATTATACTCTTAATTTTTCAAAAAATTGGCAAGCTGTGAAATTAATTGCCAATGAAAATCTAAAGTTTCCATCTGGGGAAGAAGAGCCGACGGTGGTCATTCCGCATTCTGAGAACACAGACTACCTTAGAACTGCCCACGCGGTGCCAGCTCTGTTAGGGCAGAGTTCTCAGGCAGGTGTGCCAAAACACCTCCTACCAACAAGATTCCCACACATTTATTTAATCCCATTTCTTTTCCTTTCGTTTAAAAATAACTCTTAGAACCGAGGGCACCAACTTCTGGTCATAATTTTACCTACTGTTTGTCTCGTTCAGGTAAGATTAAAAAATTAACTGTGACATTTACCTACTGGCAGGCATAACAGTTTCCCAAGTATATGACACTGGAAGTAAGAATCGCGGGCCTTTCCAGCTGGGACACAGCAGGACTGTTACTACGTGTCTGCGGCAGGAAGCAATTCAACCCTGTTAGTCAAGAAGCGTCAGTGTGAGCCCATCATAACCTGTCTATGCTGACTTTCCTGAAGGTAACATGCACACATTTGAGAGCAAAGGGGTAAGAACGAGTTCATGAATGAGATTAGGAGTTGGAAACAAGTTAAAGACAGAAAAATACGGAAAGGACTAAAAGAAAATTAGCCTTAAAACACTTCAGAGTTTACTTTTCCTTCCTTTACATTTGTGGGGGGATGAAATAAATTACAAAATTAGCAAATTAAAAAAAAAAGAAACAAATCACTAAAACTTAAAAAATATGTTTTATTATTAAGGTCTAGCACCTGGACAAAATTCAAATCTTGTTTGCTGAATAAGAAACTGTATTTTAATCCCCCTTTTAATGATCTAATCAGGTGCTTTCATAATTATTAAACTTTGGGTATATACATAGTTACTCAAAGTTCATTGTTCATAAACTCATGAATATTCCAGATCAAGGTAAGTGATGCTTTAACTGGTACTAGATGAAAAGTATACTCCAGCCTAGAGTATCATATAAATTCAACTATAAATCAGAAAGTTTCATTAGTTAGCAGCAAAAAGGTGACATTAATTTAAGATTTTTAGTTTTTCTTTAGTTTTAACAACTGTTTCCACCCAGATTTCTGAGTCACAGACCATCATTCTATAGACTATCCTCATCTTTTACATTATTGCTTACATAGTGTAAAAACTACACTAACTGATTTTAATAAACTTGGCAATGTCTAAAAATATTTTGGGACAAGGATAACGTATCACTGCCATATGGAATTTTTGTAAACAATCTTAGCTGGGTTAAGAACATAGTCTTAATATAATTTTTATTTTGTCTAAAACAGCACAATAAAAACATCCCCAACAATACATAAACCTACATATAAAATATAGAATATCTCCAATATTTTTCCTTTATATAGTATCATGGCCGCATATGCAAGAGAAAGTATTGTGGGTGGGGAAAGAGGACACTAATTTAGGCAGTGACCTAACTAGTTAGACATTAACATTCAAAGACCAGCTGGACAACTTCAGCTAGAAAAGTAGTATTATAAAGAGCTCCTATGAAATTGGAATTTACGTACTACATTCTCCATTCCTGGTCACTTCATGCATAGCTGGACTATTCTCAATCATGGTTTTTGCCTTCTTTTGTAGAAGAAAGGTAAGATTATTTGGAGGACTAGTTCTATAAAGATTCGAAGAATGCCTATTCCAATATCAAATTTTCACCATGAAATATCAGAATAGAAAGGACAAAACTTAAAAAAACTGCCCAGGCAACATGGCACAGTGGTTGAGCGTTGACCTATGAACCAGGAGGTCACAGTTTGATTCCTGGTCAGGGCACATGCCCGGGTTGCAGGCTCCATCCCCAGTGTGGGGCATACAGGAGGCAGCTGATAGATGATTCTCTCTCACCATTGATGCTTCTATCTCTTCTTTCTCTCTAAAGTGAAAAAAAAAAAAGAGTATTTACCCTAATAATTTTTAAGCTAGCTTACCATAAATACTTCCAGAAGCAAAAGGCTTTACAAAATACTGTACAACGTCCGGTGTACAGGGGTAAACATCTATCCAGGCCATCTGTCACATTCCTTTAGTATGTTTCTGGTGTGCCCTTTCATCTCGGGAAGGTCAACATTCACCCGGTTCGTTACCTAATGATCTGTTGTTAGTCTACTAACAACAATGCAAGGAGAAACGACTACATGTTTTAAGTCAATTGGTTCTCCCTACAGTCAACAATGTATTATATTCCGACACCATGTTACTGTGTACTTACAGAAGCAGTCTCCCAGTCATGAATTGCAGAGTTCACAAAGTAAAAAGGAAAACTCTTCCCCAAAACCTTTTTTAAAAAATTAAATTAAATTTAAATGTACAAGACCAAGCACAGGCACTTCCCAAAAAACCAAAATGAAGCCAAACCATGGAATTACTCAATAGTTATAGAAGACAGCTCTGATTTGGGGGGGTCCTCTCCAGTGGCCTCGGCACAAGCGCTGGTCTTGGGCTGCTCTGTCACTTCTTCCTCCTTTTCTGCCAGCCCGGCGAGAGACCCCAGGGGAAAAGTGCTTTCACAATTCTGGGTCGAGGAGACCTGTGAAATCACAGGCATCTGAACAGAGGAGTTGCTTTCAAAACTGTGTTCTCCAAGGTCATACTGAACAAGGGCCTCTTCTTGCTCGTGGTTTAAGTAGTCCGGTACTAGGAAATCACTAAGAGGCAAAGGATGAAACAGGGAGTTAATTCTCAAACCTGTAGTAAACAAGACAATAAAAAGACCTAGTCTATAAAACAAGATCAGGATGTTTTATTTCTCCAATTCTTAAAGGAAGATTATATTTAAGATTTTAGTCCTAGCCAGTTCGGTTCAGTGGGTAGATCATCAGCCTGTGGACTGAAGGGTCCCAGGTTTGATTCTGGTCAAGGGCTCGGATCTCGGTTGCAGGCTTGATAATGGGCCCTGTTTGGGGTGCGTGCAGAAGGCAACCAATTGATGTTTCTCTGTCTCTCACCTTCCTTTCCAACCTCTAAAAATCAATGGAAAAATATCCTCAGCTGAGGATTAACAACAAAAATTAGTAATTTAACTTTTAAATTGTCCTAAATATGAACCTAAGCACTCTATTAAAACCAAAGTATATCAACTCTCACTACCACCAATAGATAAGTAAGATTCAATGTCACCTCTCTCGTTTTATGTAGACAGTTTCTATTAAGCAAAGATCATTTGGGTAAATTTATGCTTAACCTTTCTTGGACTATATACTTATTAAAAAGTATATGAGCCCTGGCCAGGTAGCTCAGTCGGTTAGAGCATTGTCCTGATACGCCAAGGTTGCGGGTTCAACCTACAGTCAGGGCACATACAAGAATCAACCAATGAATGCATAAATAAGTGGAACAACAAATCGCTGTTTCTCTCTTCCCCTCTAAAAAAAAAAAAGGTAGTTTTATTACTTCCTGAAGGTAAGTATCCTTATATATAAATGACCTTATATGAAATCTATATAGAGAAATATAAAAAAACTAACTTATGTGTATCCTGTTGTTACATCTGGCATGTAAAAACTAATACATTACATTTGTACATTTGAATCAGAATGCTATGAGATTAGTTATATTTTAATCCTCAAAGACTATTGAGTTTATTAATATTGAAAGTACTTAATAGTCTATTGATATGACAAGTACTTAATTTTTGAATGTAAAATATACCAAAATTTTAACAGTAAATATTATTTCTGAGTGGTGAGATCAGAAAAGGTCTTAATTTCTTATATTCCATACTTTTATAAATATTTATTAAATTTTCTACTGTAAGTATTTTTGTAGTTAAAACAAATACTATGAAATAAGTCTTATCTTGGATGTTTTATTTAAATCTTTATTGCTTCATAATACTAAAATGTCAACTTGTACACTTAATAGTTATTAATACTGGACAATTCAATTATAAAAAAATTAAAATCTGCTCATAGGTACAGCACTTTCAGGTGTCAGACACGCGACATGAAGGACAGAGGAGTGGTTAATGGACGCTATTTTAGTCCCAAACAATGTTTACTGTGACATGTATAATCGAGGTTCAATGATATGACCATTAGATGCTGTTAGAAATAATTACATTAAACAAAGTGAATGTCTGATTTGAAGAGAACAAAATCTATGTAGGAATATTTGGAATTTATTGATAAGTAATATTTAGAAAATGAGTGGTTTAAGATTCATTTTATAAGAAATTGAGCTTGCCTACAGATGTATTAAAAGTAGACAACAGAATTTTGTATCTAGAGGGGACCTTAGAAATCACCTTCCCAGCTCACATTTTATTCTTTTCTAACTTTCAAGCCCCTTCATCGGGAAAGTGACATACTCCATCAGGACAGCAGTTTGTGGCAAAGCTAGAACCTAATTTCCTCAGATACCCTATAAATCAGAAAGGCAATTCCATCATAAATTATTATTAAAAGCATGATGTTTTAAGCTGAAAGGAAAAAAGGAAAACCACTTGATCTAAATAATCATATCCATTATAAATGCTACTGCAATTTCTCTTCTATATATAGAACTAAAAAAGAGAAATGCTCAAGAATTAACATCACTAAGTATCATCTGACAAGGCAAATTTCCAATAAGGTCCATTTAAGATCCACTATAGAATTACTTTAACCTTATAATTTTATTCTGTATATATCTCAAAACAAAACACAACAAAAAAACACCAAAAACAAAAACTCAACAGGAGCCGGCCAGTGTTGCTCAGTGGTTAAGCACTGACCTATGAACCAGGAGATCAGTGTGATTCTAGGTCAGGGCACCAGGCTGTGGCCTCAATCCCCAGTAGGAGGTGTGCAGGAGACTGCCAGTCAATGACTCTCTCATCACTGATGTTTCTCTCTCTCCCTTCCTCTCAGTAATCAATAAAAACATATTTAAAACCTTAAAAACAAAACAAAAAATCAAGAAGATTAGCCTATTCCTATAGAAAAAGATTCCTAATTTCAGAAATATTTTTAATTGTCTATACTTAGAAGATTCAGCAAAATTTTATCCAATCAGATTGGAGTATGGATTGGATTTTAGAAGGAATGTGCGTGGTTACCTGGCAGCCTGATAAAGACAGAGCAGGCTGCCCTAGAAGCAGGAAGAGAGGTCAGAAAGCAGTGTTCCTGGGGGTCTCGCTGTGCACCTCACCTGCTCTGGAAGTAGTTTGCTAGCTCTGACGCTTCATGGTTCAGACTCCTCAGGTGCACGATTAAATTTCCAGAGTTGGTGAACATGGCGCCACATGTTTTGCACTCGTAAATCCGAGGCTTGCGGATAATGTGCCGGGAAACCCTCATGTGATGCTTATATTCCCCGAAGGAAGTGAAAGTGGCACCACATATCTGGCACCGGAAACAGCGTTTACCTTCATGCTTTAGGCGATGCATCTTTAGCGAGTAAGCCCTGGTGAACTTTTTTCCACAGCGGTCACACTGAAATGGTTTAATTCCTATAAAATAAAATAAAATATTTGAAAACTAAATTAACTGGAAGTTTATCAACCTCAAAAATTTCTGAGTTATCATTCTGTAGCAAGAGATAATTTGAGAAGACAAAAATCACCAGCAAAAATGAATTGCTATTTATCTTAGGAAAGGTACAGAATATCTGAAGTTGCTACTTAAAAAAAAAAAAAAGGCAAGAGGGGTGGAGTAAACTAGGTAATATACACTCAAATTGTTATCTGAACACCCTTCAAAATCATCTATTTTACAAACTTCAAAACAATTTAACTACAGTATTTAACTATAACCCAAGTCCCCTATAACATTTGTTTCATTTCATTAGTGAGTGTTATAATGAAACTATGTGAAAAAGATTAGTACCTACTCTTCATTCCTCATCTCTGAGAGAAATGAGTAGAAGAAAAATCTAACTTTTCTGAACATAATTAATGACCATGATAGAACTATCACGCGATGACTTGGGTTTTAGGTATTTAATGTAATAGTGATAGGTCATTATCACAGTTTTGGCAAAAAAATTTCAAAGCCTTCAAAATATAATCTGTTGATTTAACAGTCACAGGAAACTGGTATTAGTCACAGGACTGTTGGATGTTTCTAAAGAAGAGGAACATGAGACGGCACAGCTGAAAACGACAGCAAAGATTTCAGGCTTGCCCTAGCCGGTTTGGCTCAGTGAATAGAGCGTCGGCCTGCAGACTGAAGGGTCCCAGGTTCGATTCCGGTCAAGGGCATGTACCTTGGTTGCGGGCACATCCCCAGTAGGGAGTGTGCAGGAGGCAGCTGATCGATGTTTCTAACTCTCTATCCCTCTTCCTTCCTCTGTAAAAAATCAATATATTTTTTTAAAAAAGATTTCAAGCTTATCAGAGGTTTTGCCTCCAAGAATTCTGCTGCCTTTCTGTGATCACTGAACTTAAGTTTCAAATCTGTTTTACACATCATTTATCCAAAATCTCTTTCACACTAAAAAAGGACTACAAAGCTAACTAGACAAGGCACAGAGAAATTCAGGATTGCAGAATTAAAATTAAATTATTAAATATTAAAAAAATCACTTTATTTCAAATTTCAAAATTACAGAGAAAACAGTACAAAGAACACTTACACCCTTTTAATGCCATTTGCTTTATAATCTGTATTTGTGCTTCTAAACCTCACATATACAGACACACCAACACACCCAGCATTTCTGACGTTACACACACACTGCGCTAAGCTTTAACCCTAATGCTATGCCTGTGGAAAACATACTACAGCTTCTGACACTGTGCTATTTCAATAAGAGACCTGGGCTTATCTGTTCTCATTTGACTTCCCAGAGATACCTATACATTTTTAAACTAAAAACCACCTGTTTGCTATTTTTAACTGGGATTCCAAAATAAAATGTTTTAGAGTACTCATGCTTGCCACAGTAGGGAAGGTGACGTTACCTGAGTGGATGAGCATGTGCTGTTTTAGGTTCTGAATTCGGGTGAATCGCACCCCACAAGTTGGACATTGAAAAGGTCTGTCCGGACCATTTGGGCTGGGCCGTTCTGTACTGCTGGTAGAAGGAGCAATGTAGAGTTGGTAGGGATACTGAACATTTTCCAATCTAAAAAACAGACCAAAGAAGGCAACCAGGCTCTGATTTTTAAGTTGAATAAACATTTCTGCACAACATTTAAGTGAATAAAAGACAAAGCACTTAAAGATTTTGGAACAGTTTCACTGTTAGATGACAAGTTTCATTTGGGGCAATATGAAAAATGTCCAGAATGGCCAGTATCTCAAGCAAGGATATACAGCCATAGAACACACCATAAACACTTTTCCTTCAAGGATCTTTAATCTTTCTAATTCTTTCCTTCCTACTGCTGCTTTAACTTAGGCCCTCATCAACACAAGGCTGAATTAATAGCTCCCTCTCGTTAGCCCACAGGCCTCTAATCTATCTATCCTTCTCACTGTTTCACAATGATTTCTCAGATTCAATCAGCCACCTTTTAAACTCCTGCAAAGGTTCAGTTACCTTCGGAATAAAGTCCTGTGAGGGATGTTTTGGAGGCAGAGATGTGAGGACTGGTTTAAGGATGGAGTATGGGGAGTGAGGGGAAGAACAAGTACACTTCCCGGAGAGTCTGCTTGAGAAGTTAGGGGAACAGTGAAGCTGTCTGAGTGGAGCTAGAAGTCTTGAGTTCTGTCCTGGCCACGGTTAAGTCTGAGATGCCCCTTACTCATCTATGTGGAAACATCGAGCAAGGAGGGTCAATCTGAAAGTAACTTGGGAATAATGGGTATGTAGATGAGGGTTTGACAACTATTTTCTGTAGCAGGTTAGACAGTAAATATTTCTGGCTCTGCACACCACATGATGTTTCAATCACTCAACTCTGCCGTCCACAGACACTATATAAACAAACAGTGTGGCTATGTTCCAATAAAACCTGATTTGCAAAGGCTGGTGGACTGGAACTGGCCTCTGGTCCATAGTTTGCCAAACCCGATACAGATACTATTTAAAGAGATGGGACCGGGCAGTTTTAAAAATACTAAAAACTGCTGTACAGGTGGTTTGATTTATGATGTGATAAAGCTACCTTGTTACTCTGAAAAATATACCAAAATGAGGTCCCAATAAACTTACTGTATAATCCCAGATAAAAGACTTAAGAGTTGCAAGCACAGTCCTTAAAAGAAAACAACCTACTATGTTAGTACTAACCGATCATCGTCATCTGCGTGAGCATTGGTGCTGGAAGTGCTTTGAAGCGTAGGTAACCCTTCGGTGACACCTTCATCTACCGAGCCTGAAAATAAAAGAAGACAGGTGTCAATACTGTAGTGAAAATAAGCCAAGACATTAATTGCAAGCTGAAACTTTAAGTCGTTAAAAACAGACTAATGCAGCGGTCGCCAACCGGTGGTCTCCAGACCCCTGGTGGTCCATGAGGTCCGAAAGGTTGGTGACCGCTGAAGTAATGTACGTGCATATCCTGAATTAATAAAGTGTCCTATAGCCCTGACTGGTTTGGCTCAGTGGAAAGAGCGTTGGCCTACGGACTGAAGGGTCCCAGGTTCAATTCTGGTCAAAGGCATGTACCTTGGTTGTGGGCACATCCCCAGTAGGGAGTGTGCAGGAAGCAGCTGAATTGATGTTTCTCTCTCATCGATGTTTCTAACTTTCTATCCCTCTTCTTCTCCCTTCCTCTCTGTAAAAAAATCAATAAAATATATATTTTTTAAAAAGCATTCCATAATACTTTAAATGTTAATGTGATTTAAAAAGAAATCACAGCTAAGATAATAGCCTTATATTACTTTAAACCTTTAGGACCATTTCTTTGATATAAATGTTAGAAAACAGCAATTCAAATGTAAACTAAGCAAAAATTCACGCAAAATTAAATGTTATAACAATCACTTAAGGAACCACTTTTTTTTTTTTTTTAATCTTTGATTTCTTTATTGGTTAAGGTACTGATTTGAGAGAGGGGAAGGGAGGAGGAGAGAGAGAAACATCGATCAGTTGTCTCCTGCATGCCCCCTACTGGGGATCAAGCCAGCCACTCCGGGCATGTGCCCTGACTGGGAATTGAACCATGACCTTCTGGTTCATGGGTTGAAGCTCAACCACAACCATACTGGATGGGCGACAATTTTTATTTTTTTTAATTTTATTGTGGCTTGGCCAGTGGGGGACGTGTACGAGGCAGCCAATTAATGATTCTTATCATTGATGTTTCTATCTCTCTCCCCTCCCTTTTCTCTCTGAAATATATTAAAAAAATATATAAACTTAATGGCACTAAAAACGTTATTGTGACATACAACTTACTGTACATACAACTTTTACACAGAATTAAAAATTAGCTACAAAGTGAGCACCTGTGCAGTCTCCACACAAGTCCCCCTAGACCACTGCCAGCAGCCTAGCAGTCCCCATTTACTCTTCCCTGGCAAGCCCTTCCTTCCAGGAGGCAACCAGGATCCTGACTTTAATGGTTACCATTTCCTTCCTTTTTCTTGACCCTCTTCCTTGTGATTTCATCTCAAATCCAGGTACCCATAACCGGGGGGTCATTTTTGCAGGAAGACAGCCATGTGCCATCATCTACCATGTCCCATCACCACAATGGCAGAGTGGAGTCATTGAGGCTGCAATAGAAACCACGTGGCAGCTAAGTCTAAAAATACTACCAGTGCCCTTTAAGAAAAGTCTGTCACTCTCACCATAAATAGTATAGTTCAGTGTTGTCTGATTGTAAACTTATATAAATTGAGTCACATTGTATGTATTCTTGTGTCTTATTTTCTTCAATATTGTGGACTTATCCATGTTGTCACAGATAAGTGAAATTTAAAAGTTATATGATATTCATTACCTATTTTTTTAATTTTTTAGCATTAACCATCTGCAAGAAAAGCTACAGATCCCTAAAAATAAAAAAGGATATGGACAGCAAGGTAAGAGTCCCTGGCTTCTGATGTTATTAAAAAGTCAGACATTCTTCTGAAAGTACTGTCACCACCCTCCCTCCATTGTCTCTATAATGTGTCCAGCTTTGCTTCTTTTATTATTTTTATTGGGATTTGCTGGTGTCTTTCATCAATTCTGGAAAATTCTCAGCCAATCTCTTTTCTCCTTCTAGGATTCCATCAAACCTACGTTTGTACTGTCCATAACCCTTACCTTCTCCACTGCTGTCTCTACCACTGCTCTATGATGGTTAATTTTTATGTCCACGTGACTGGGCTAAGGGATGCCCAGAGAGCTGGTAAAACATTATTTCTGGGTGTGTCTGTGAGGATGTTTCTGGAAGAGATTAGCATTTGAATCCGTAGACTGAGTAAGAATCATCCTCACCAATGCAAGGGGGTAATCATCCCATCCCTTGACCAGCAGAACAAAAGGGTCAAGGAGGGCAAATCTGCTCTTTGCTTGAGCTGGGATGTCCATCTTCTCCTGCCCTTGGACATCAGCTCTCCCGGTTCTCGGGCCTTTGTGTCTGTACTGGAACTACACCACCAGCTTACCTGGGCCTCCAGCCAGTAGAGGTCAAACTGTGAGACTTCTCATCCTCCATAACCAGTCAGTGAATCCCTCCTAATAAAACCCTATGTCTCTGTATCTGTCCTCTTGGTTCTGTTTCTCTGGAGAACTCTAATAGTCTCTCTTAATTTAACTTCCGATTCACCAATTCTCTTTTTTGCTAAGTCCAATCTGCTGCCAAAATGTTGACTTTTTCTTTTCTAGAAGTCCTCCCCCACAAATCTGCTGTATTACTTTTTAGTTTACTGTTCTCTGCAATCATTGTTCAAGCTTGCTTCTTTTGTTAAACATAGTAAGCATGTTTGTTTTATGTCTCTTTATGAAAACCATGCCAATTTATCTCTGCTGCCTGCTTTTTCCTGCCGGTTCTCCGTCTGCCGTGTTTCCTTGTGTGCCCTGGTTGTTTCTGACGTAGTTATCACCCTTGAAAATGGTTTGCAAGGAACTGAGTTGCTGAAGTTAGGATGAGTAAGTCCCTTTTCAGAGAAGCTTTACATTTCCTTGTGTTTGGTTCCTGGGGGCACTACCTAAACCACATTCACGGAGAGGCAAATTTGCAAGAGGTCTTGGTGGTGGCCACGGCCCCCTTTTTGCTTTTTATCTTCTAGTCTGCACAATGCCAACACAGTCCCCTGGAGGAAGGGACGCAGGATTAGTTCTACTGGTATAGAACTTTGGGGTTCCTACTTAATGTGTAGAGCAACTGCTCTAAGATTTCACAGCTTTCATATCCTCTGGGTCTTGAGTTGAGTTGATTTGTGTTTTGGTGGGGAACCTCTTTCTGCCAAGGACCATTCGGATATTTATAACATCATTTGCAGGCCATACAAAAGTATCAGCTTAAAATTCAGCCTGCTATATTTGGTCAAACATTTAATTAACTTGCCCCTAATGCCTTGGCAGGGCCAGACCAAATGATTTCAAGGGCCTTATATGGCCCACGGGCCAGACATTCCCCACTCGTCTTAGGGGAAAGCTGGTCTTAGTGCTCTGGTATCTACTTACCTCTCCTCTAAAATTAAGCATCTTTTCAAATATTTGTAAAGCACCTTTAAAAAATCATACTGTTTTTAGTGTGAGAGTAGACTCACAAAAATTATCAAGAACACCAATTACTACACAATGTTCTAACACACTGATAGAGGTTTTTGAAAAAGACTGCATGCATTTATATTCAACCCCAACTGTGCCCTCACTGTTCCTGCCCGCCCTCTATCACCCTTACTGTTGTGTGCTTAGCATTCTATGCCTGTCTTTCCTTTTACTCTTTCCCTTACTGTCGAAGACATTTATGGTCCCCTGCCCAATATGCCTACTTATCCAACTTATTCCTGGTCCTTCTGATTTGTTGTTGATCCAGGTGTGGGTTTAGGGGTCAGATAATGCTTCATTTCGTTTAGAAAAACCTGTTCACTTGTCAATATCATACCATTTTCACTTTTCCTTTAAAGAGAAGGAACTAAAGACTAACATTTCAATCTGTCCTAGGATAAAAACTGAAAAAAATCCCAATATTTGGACCTGGTCACCATGGAGACACACACACACACACACACACACACACACACACACACACAATTCTGCAGTTATTCAGAATACAGGCAATATGAAATCTTACAGGCAAAGACTTGCAAAAAAGGCCTGGAGATATGATTAGGGCAGGCTAGGAAGATTGATCTAGACATTTGCTTCTCACCACCAGGCAAGCTACACAGGCGGGAGTGGGGTCTTGGAGAGGTGAAAATAAAAACCACTACCCTTTGGATTAATTCTCACATTGTCAAGAATTGCCTTAAAAAGCTGGTGAAAAAGAACTAAAATGGAGCACAAGATACGTCTTGCAGATGGTCTCCCTTAAAACAAGGCAATTTCCACATTCTAAAATATCATCTAATGTGTGGCCTCTAGATCCCCAATTTGACTGATAGTGAGCAAAGGGCACTCTCCTCTCTCCCATGGCTATTCAATGAGCCAAAAGCTAAAACAAACAAACACAAAACACTCCAAACTAAATTAAGAGTTTAACAAAATATACTTTTAGAATTCCATCCATAGTGTAGACACTGTAACAGTGTTGTATCACATGCAACTATTGGAAAAAATAAATCTTGTAAACTCTTTTTCCTGAGATGCTGATGGTTTTTACCAATGAGAAGTAATCATATGAATTGGAATTTTATTTGAACTGATGTAAGAGTAGGATATCCATTCAATATTACTTTCTTGAGGTGATAGTGATGTTTCTTAAATTATTAAAATGAAGTTCCCTTTCTACACTCTGTGGATTCTGCTCTCTTAACTGGGGCTAAGAATTCTGAACAGATCCTTCTCACCTTAATGAAACAGTAAAGCTGATTTATAGAAACAATCAGCTTTATATGATAAGGGCTACCTCATCGAGATAGATGCTACTCTCTTCCACCAATAGGGAGTGCTGTTTATATAGCTTCTGCTGCATAAACTGACTCCTTACAAAAACTCTTTTCTGGTGGTGAAAAATAATCACAGTGGCCATCCACTACTGAGCATTTACCACATTCCAGCCACTGTTCTAAATGCTTTAAATACAATATTTCATTTCATACTCGAGGAAGAGAAAAAGCAGCCCTTAATATTTAGGAACTGGCCGGACATGGACAGTGGGCCTGGTGGTCCCAGGCAGGTGGTGTTTTCCTGTTGGACATAAAACAATCTCCCAGAACACCTGCATCAGACCAGGTCACATGGTCTGAAACAAAACACATAACTCTGTTTAAGCACACACAAAAACAATGTCAATGTGTAATCACAAAAATACCCAACATAAGCTATTGCTGTTTTAGGTTCACTCTGGTCTGTATTCCTAGACATTTGTTAAGATAATCATAGAGTTATCTCTGCTTTCTGACATTACCAGTCCTGAGAAAACACACTTTCTTAATCTTACCTAAATCACCTAACTCAAGCCCAAATCCAGTAAGTCCTTTCTAACATCTGCTGACTGAACCCTAAAGTCCCATGGTGCGTGAACTCAAGTAATGAACTCAACTTGTTTAATTACAGGTGCGCTCCTGGTGCACTCTGCGACGGGGCATTGGCAGAAATGGAGGACCTGTGGAGACTGAGCTGAAATTCTTGTTGCCTTGCACGGGAACCTCAATAACAGAGTGCACATCTAAAATCCCTCACAGGGGAGGGCAGAAAGGGGGAGGGGGTGTCTGGATAAAAGAAAGTGAGAGGATTAGCCAAATAACATATATACATAATCCATAGACAGACAATAGTGCGGTGATGGCCAGAGAGATAGGGACATCTGTAATAGTATAAGCAATAAAAATAAAGTAAAAACATTAAAAAATAAAATTCCTTTTGAGGTATAACCTGCCCTTGGCTGGGAGGTAAATTCAGGCCTAATTGAGCTCAAATATTTAACTGAAGTACTGGGTATATTTTGTTTTCCTAGAAAAAGCCTTTTGGGAATATTTTGGCTATCCAATCAGATTTGTCATTGTTCCCTGGTGGAACTGTTTCCCAACCTCCTAATACCTGCTCCTATGATGTCTCCCTATTGTGTTGACTCTTGTTTCCAAGAGGAATAGATTAAAATGAAAGGATGGACGCAGGCCCAATTAGTCCATCTGAACTGGGCCTGGAGACTGAGTTCATAAGCTCTCTTGTTTTAGGTCCATATTAGTGAAAACATTTCAAAAGTTTGAGAGGTATGATGCTGACAAATCTGAAAATATGATGGAAATTAACAGAAGCCACTTAGAAAAGACCACACATTGCATGACTGCATTTATATGAAATACCCAGAATAGGCAAATTTATAGAGAGTATACTAGTGGTTGCCTAAAGCTGGCTGTGGGACAGAAGTGAGCTGCTGTACAGGGGCACATGGTTTCTTTTTAGGGTGATGAAAACATTATAAACTTAGATTGTGAGAATGGTTGCACAACTCTGTGAATGTACTTAAAACTACTATAGGATACACTTTAAATGGGTGAATTTTATAATATTAAGTTGTGGGTTTTTTTAAAATCCTCACCTGAGGATATTTTTCCACTGATTGTTAGAGAGAGTGGAAGAGAGAGGGAAAGACAGAGAGAAACATCTATGTGAGAGAAACACATCAATTGGTTGCCTCCTGCATACGCCCTGACCAGAGCCCGGGCTGGGGAGGAGCCTGCAATCAAGTACATGCACTTGACCGGAATTGAACCTGGGACCTTTTGGTCTGCAGGCCGACGCTCTATCCATTGAGCCAAACCAGCTAAGGCTGTAAGATGTATTTTAATGAAGATGTTTAGAAAAGAATCTTATGCCCTGGCTGGTGGCTCAGTTGGTTGAGAGTCGTCCCATACACTGAAAGGTCACCAGTTTGACTCCTGGTCAGGGCACACACCTGGTCTGTGGGATCTATCCCCAGCAGGGGGCGTGCAGGAGGCAGCTGATGGATGTTTGTTTTTTTCTTTCTTCCTTCCTCCCTAAAATCAATAAAAACATATTAACCAAAAAGTTTTTGTTTTGTTTTTTAAAGAGCCTTATAAAGACTTCTTCAATTTTGTCTTAGTCCTGACAACTACTTTGCTTATTTGGGGTCATATGCCCACAAGCAGGCAGGAGGTTTTGTCTGGTCCCTGATCAGTGACAACTGATCTTTAGCCAAGCACTGGAAATAGAAATTTACACAAGTATTATTCTTTTTGTTGTTGTTGTTGATACCCTTTCCATTGATTTTTAGAGAGTAGAAGGGAGGGTGGGAGGGAAAAGGATGAGGGAGAAGGAAAAGGAGAGGAAGAGGGGGAGAGGGAGAGGGAGAAGGAGAGTGAGAGAAGGAGAGAGGATCACCGATGTGACACATCGATTGGTTGTCTCCCACACACTCGCCCTGGGGGTAAGGAAAGAACCTGCAATGCAGGAATCAAACCCAATACCCTTTGGTGTATGGGCCAATGCTCTACCACTCAGCAACACTGGCCAGGGCATAAGGGTTATTTTTAAAAAATACATGTTTTTATCGATTTCAAAAGGAGGGAGGGAGAGGGAGAGAGGGATATAAACATCAATGATGAGAGAGAATCATTTATCAGCTGCCTCCTACACACTCCCTACTGGGGATCGAGCCCGCAACCCGGGCACGTAGGCAGGCACAAGCATAATCTTATGGGCCATTGCAGTTCTCCTGAGTCATCTCAATCTAAAACTGCACCTCTTCCAGGCCAACATCTGCTTCTTTCGTGTTTTCTCACTGTAACATTAAGTGTTATACTATCTTTCAACTGACTCAATTTCCCCAAGGATAATTTTCAGGAGGTCATCTGGGAGGGGGGGCGGTTCTGACAGGAACAAGAGTGTTCATCTGAGATGCATCATCAACACTGGACCAACACTGAGGTAGGGATTTTAAGGGGTTGATGCAGTGGATGTTTCCAATGTATGGCCTCCCTGTCAATGACAGAAGGCACCAAGGATAGGAACCAAGCATTAGGGGACACCTTTACCTCCAATGAAGCCATGAGTTTGTTTGCTTATTATTTATTTATTTCTAGGGTGTATGGAGGCTTTCTTATGCTAAAGATCTATGTTGTAATGGCAGGAAAAAAGTTACTAGATTCTGTATTCCTGACTAGGGAAATCCCAACCTATTTCTCCAGTAGCACAACCACACATTACACTGATATTGCTAAAAACAAAAACAAAACTCCTTAAGCTTTATCTTTTACTCAAGACTCTACACTGTCTTTATCCACAAACTTCAAGAAAAATAAAAAAAATTAAAACTATAATTATCAAAGCACTTATAAACACACTTAACCTCCATGTACTGCCAAAGCCTTGATGGTAGTAAGATAAATCCTCTCTAGGACCTGTAAGTTAAAACTGAATTTCTTTGTTAAGATAATAAACTGGATTATCTAGAACTATTTATATGTCTGTCATTGGTGCTACAGATAATTATTTCAAGATAAATAATGAAACAATATCACAAAGTCCTTCTCACTTATAAAATTTTTTCTTGAACTCTACCAGATATTGATAGTTACCTTTCTGAGTAGCAAAACCCAACCCAAACTTATTTTTTCCAGTTGCTATATTTAGTGCTTCTGTTTGCCCTAAACTGGGGGTGTTAGATTTTATAGCCTTTTGGTGGGCAAATGGTAATAAAGAGAACTTAAAAAGAACAGGTAAAAATCTGCCGTGGCGGGTGTGGCTCAGTTGGTTGGGCTTATTCCATGCATTAAAAGGTTGCCAATTCAACAAGCCCGGGATTGCAGGCTTGATCCCCAATACGGAATGTGCAGCAGGCAGCAGATTGATGTTTCACTTTCACATTGATGTTTTTTTCTCTCTCCTCTCTCTCTAAAAATCAATTTTAAAAATCTTAACAAAAAAACCCACAGGTAAAATCTAACTGCTGAGCCACACCGGCAAGGGTTGGACTTCCCATTTCCTAACATTTTATGCGATAAAAAATAAAATCCTGTTTGGTTTAAGCCATTGAATGCAATCCTAACTGAAACCAGTGTGCAAAGCTCTTCACAACATGCTCTAAACCACTCATTTTATTTTACCTCCTATTTTTTTCTACTAGAGCAGTGGTTCTCAACCTTCCTAATGCCATGACCCTTTAATACAGTTCCTCATGTTGTGGTGACCCCAATTTCATTAAATTTTCAGTAAATATTTTAATAAAGAATAAAACACTAACTGGACTTTTTAAAAACTGGGTTTTTTTTTTTTGCATTGGAGGTAATTCATAATTCTTTCATATGTACCTGTATGTATCTTTGTCCCATCAGGCATTGTTCAACTATTTTTCTTTCCCAATGCGTAACTTATTAAAAAAATTATAGTACTAGTGGCCACATCTAAAAAAAAAATCCAGTTATGCTTTATTCTTCCCAGTATTTCCTATATGACCCAGAACAAAACTTTAATCTAGTAAGTACTTAAAAATGCTTGAACTGATTTGATTATAGCAACATGAGAAACAGAAAACACTGTACCTATTGAGGAAGACTGTGGACTAATCAGAAGGTCCTCTTGGACTTGTTCACTTCCTGGCACTGTTTGCTGGTCACTCAGTGAACTCTGAGATGCACTGACGGGCTGGGGTACTTCCTCATGCACCTCCTCATCACTTAACCTTTCTACTTTCACCCGGACATCTTCTTCGGTACCCAGAGGCAAGGTCGTTTTTGTGCTCTCACAAGTCACAAAATCAGCCATTCTTCTGTCGGTCTCAGATGGGCCAGGTAGTTCTAAAGTCCGGGTGTTTTCTGCCTGCTTAACCTTGTCAGGCTGAATCCTCCGATCAATCCCAAAAGGAAAAGTCCAGGGAAAAGCTAGAGAAGAGTCAACTGGTTGACTTCTATTTTCTGAGTAGGAAGCTGAAGAATTCAGTATCTGGGGGGAGCTTGTCTGTGTGCTGCACTTGACAGGACTTTCGGGAGACATAACGATGTAGCTTTTGCGCTTTCTCCGGGATTCTCTGCAGACGGGAATGGTTCTTTCTACCACGCTGCACTCTGACGACACGGGTGAAAGGCTTCCATCTCGAGAAGTGAAATTGCAATTAGAGTTATTTTCTTGTCCAGCATCGAGACCCTTTTCCGGTTGGCTGTTGGGTGTATTCCATAAAATGCTTGATTTCATGAACTCTGAGCAGGTGCTCGCAACGCTGAACATTTGCATATAGCTGGCTGCAGCCAGCACATCGATGATATTTTCTGTGTTAATTGACAGAGTGGCTGTGTAAGCATATTCTAGAAGGGGGATAAAACCAGTCACTGTAACATGATGTAAATCCAACACATTCTTGTCCTCATCCTCTGCTTGGCCTACAAGTTTAGTGCGAAAAAAATCACTGCAAGCTGCTAGTACCACCTTATGTGCCCGGAAGATTTTGTCCTGGACACGAATAGTGATGTCACAGAAATGTCCATCATTTCGCAGCATGTTTAGCTTTCCAAGCATTTCCTGACTGTGGGAAGAAGAGCTATGAGTAAATGTTTTCACACCCATCTTTTCCTTCCTCTTCTACAGATGCTCTTCAAGGATGCAAATGAACCAGGAATGACCTAAAAAATACATAAAATAAGCATTAATTGATAGTTCAGTAGTCAATTAACTATGATAATTAACTATTTATGATAATTACCTATAATCATAATAGGTAATTTAGATAGTTTTCATGTAGCCACTATGCTAAATCAAAAAGCTAAAAGATGGCAGTGAGAAAGTTCAAGGTAGAGAATATATTAAACATTCCTCCACACATATATGGGCAACGAATTTTCAACTAAGAAGCCAAGAATAGGCAATAAAGGAAAAATCTCTTCAATAAATGACGTTGGAAACATTGGACAGCCATGTGCAAAAGAATCAAACTAGACTATGATCTTACACTGTACACAAAAATTAACTCAAAATGAATTAAAGATCTGAATGTAGGGCCTGACAATAAAATGCACAAAATGAAACATAAGCACTAAGCTTATGGATGTTGGTCTCAGAGATGTTTTTGTGAACTGGACTCCAAAGGCAAGGGGAACAAAAAGCAAACATAAATAAATGGAACTACATCAAACTAAAGAATGCACAGCAAAAGAAGCCATCAACAAAACAGAAAGGCAGTCAACCGAATGAGAGAAGATTATTTGCAAATGATACTTCCAATAAGGGACTAATATCCAAAATAGACAAAACGCATACCACTAAACAACAAAATCTGATTTAAAAAGATGACCTGAACACTTTTCCAAAGACATACAGATGGCCAACAGATCTATGGAAAGATGTTCAACATCATTACTTATTAGGGAAAGGCAAATCAAAACTACAATGAGATACTATGTCACAGCTATTAGAACAGCTATTATTACAAAAAAACACAAAACAGCAAGTATTGAAGAGGATGGGGAGAAAAGGGAACCCTCACATACTGCTGGTGGAAATTTAAATTGGTACAGCCATTATGGGAAACAGTGTGGAAGTTCCTCAAAAAATTGAGAACAGAACTTCCGTATGACCCAGTAATACTGCTCACTTCTGGGTATTTAGCCAAAAGTTTAAAAACACTAATTCTTAACACATTGTTTGCGGGTAGTTTTTATCGCACGCTAACAGGTGGTGCGGGCCATTTTTGCTAATTTTTTGCGCAAATGGCAACGTTCAGTAAAATTACGATAACTTTACGTATTTATATGTTACCCGCATTCTACCGCTAGTCTATAAAAAAACGTATTAATACGTGTCCTGTGCTCTACTACACTGGTAGAACGTATAAATACGTTTCCCGCATACAATGTGTTAAAGATGCATTTATTCCTGTATTATTATGTAACTAGATGCCCAATGCATGAAATTCAGGCACAGGTAGGGTCCCTAGGCCTGGCCGGTGATCAGGGGGCCCCTGCTGGCACCTGCCTTGGCTGGCCTGGGGCCTGTGGGCTAGGGGCAGCTCCTGCGCTGAGTGTCTGCCCCCTGGTGGTCAGTGCACATCATAGTGACCAGCTGTTCCCCCATTTGGTCAATTTGCATATTAGGCTTTTATCATATAGGACTAGAGGCTCGATGCACAAAAATTTGTGCACTCGGGTGGGTCCCTCAGCCCAGCCTTGTGCCCTCTCGCAGTCTGGGGGCCCCTTCCTCTGGCTGCTGGCACCAGTTTTCCTCCTGTGCCCGGAACCCAGGCCTTCGCTCTTCACCGGGAGGTTTTAGAATGTGATAGGCCTAGATTCTGTCCTCAACAATTCCTCAATGGCTATGAGAACTAAGTGAAACAATGTATGTAGTAACTGCCCAGTATTTAGCCCTTTGTGAATGCTCAACAAATAAAAGCAGTTATTATTGTTATTTAGGTAACTAATACAATAAAACCTTTTCAGAAGTAAATTTATGTAAAAAAAAGTTTAGTAATCAATCAACTGACTGGATTTTCCTTAAAATAAAAGGACAACTGGTTTGCCAATATCATATTTTACATTTATTTACTAAAAACATAAATAACTAAAATCCTCAAATACCTTTAATATAGCAATCTAATTATGCTTCAGTTTTTATAGTACCTCCCCCTAACCACTTTTTATACCTTCTGTGTGAAATCGGGGAGGCTTATATTAGCCCTTTGTCAAGGATAAAACTAACGCTCAGATAAGTTAAGTGACTAACAAATGACAACCAAATCTGGATCTGGATCTTCTGACTCTTAAAACACAGTACTTTTCCAATGCAAACACATACGGCTATGTACGCCAATTACTGTATCTAAGTTAAGTAACTACAAAAAATAGTTGGTACTGTAATAAATGCAAAACAAAGCAATTTGGGGGAATGCTTTTGTAAGTTATATCTAAATAAAAAAGGTATCAGCATATTAGGGTTTTAGTGGCTGCAGTGTGGCTCGGTGGTTGTGCATAAACCATGAACCAAGAGGTTGCCAGTCTGAATCCTGGTCAGGGGACATATTCAGACTGCTGGCTTGATCCCCAATGAAGGGCAAGCAGGAGGCAACCAACTGATGTATCTCTCTCATATCAATGTTTCTCTCTCCCTCTCCTCTCCCTCTCCCCCCCTCTCCTTTCCTCCCTCAGCTGGTAGGGGGCCTGAGGTGGGCAAGGAGGGAACGCTTTAACTCTGAATAAAGTTCTTGAAAATAATGTTATTTCCTGAAAGCGATCAGCAAAGTTATTAAGACTTGCCCTTCAAAGAGTTGGAGGGAGAACTCTGCAGAATAAACAAGTGGACAGTGGAATTGACATTGAAGTGAAAGACAAAAATAAAATGGGTTCTGAGGATCTTGCATAAGTCAAACTTGTTCAATACAATAGTTATACGGCTATGGTACAAAGTCTGATATCACTGGAGGCATGGAATAAGAGAAAGATGAAGTTAGATGGGAAAATGCCTTATATGCCATGTATTTATTACATGAGTTTCCCAACACATAGCTATGGAAACTTAGTCTCATTATACATTCTATAATAAAAAAATTACAGACTAATATAATTTGGAAATACCAAAATATCATACATTGTGGCAAAACTTGGGATGAATTCAGAAATAGTTGCCTTCCACCCCCCCCTTTGATTCCAAATTACTTATGGAATAGTACACATGCTTAACACAACTACTACTGTTCTTGAGAGTACCTGTTGCTCTGAAGTTCTATACACGATGTTGTTTTGGAAAAAGATTAGGAGCTATTTGTTTTGTGGTCACTTGTCTGAAATGGATTCATTTCATAAGCTGGGACAAATATGATTAAGGTCCCAGTATTCTCAGTGTGTTGTGCTCAAGGTTCTATAACTGGGGGAATAAATGAAAGAAGAGAGCCTTACCTCTAAACTGTAATGATTTGTTACATTCAATGTAAAAGGCCTAAACACACCAACTAAAACAGACAATGTCAGAGTGGATTGAGAGAGTGAGAGACCACAACCCAAATAAACTACTGCCTACAAGAAACTGATTTCAAATATATTTTAGGTAGTTTAAAAGGAAAAGGCTGAATAAAACACACCATTCAAATACAAATCAAAAGAAAGATGGTAGTGTTCAATTCATCCAGAATTAAAACAATTCTAAATGTATATACTCTTTAAGTGAGCTTCAAAACACACAAAGCAAAGTGACAGAAATAAAAGAAATAGGCAAGTCCCAATTTTTATTTGGAGACTTCAACACTCCTGTTTCAGCTATCAATGGAACTAGTAGACAGAAGATTAAGAAAGCTACAGAACTAAACACCATCAACCAACTGAATAAAATTGACATTTATAGAATACTAAAGGCCCGGTGCACAAATTTGTGCATGGGTGGGGTCCTGCCAACCCGCCCCGATTGGGGCTGATTGGGGGGAGGGGCCGTAGGTGGTTGGCTGGCCAGCCGGCCCTGCCCCCTGGTCGAACTCCCAGTTAAGGGGGCAATTTGCATATTAGGCATTTATTATATAGAATTCTAGTCACTGACAGAATACATATTGTTTTCAAAGTATGGACTCTGATCCTAAATGGAATGAAACAAACAAAAATCAGTAACAGAAAGATTAAAAAATCCCTCAACACTTGGAAATTTTAAATAATACATGGATCACAGAGCAAGACTCAAGAGAAGTTAGAAAATGTTAAACTGAACAAAAACATGTCAAAATTTATGGGATGCAACTAACATAAGTGTTTAGAGGGTGTGATACTGTGATTTATAATAAATATATTTGATCTTTATCCCTATTTCTGGCATAGAGCTCCTAAGTCCTCTGGAATTTCCTAAGTGATGACAGCAGCAAAGATGTCTCTGTAATGTCAATTAATTGACTCTTGGAAGGAACATCTACTAGTATAGGATGGGGGCTGGTTGACAAGAGTACCAACCATATAACCTGAATGTTGAAACTTCCATTCTCACCTCTGGGGATGTGGGAGAGAATGAAGGCTGAGTCAATCATGCCTATGTAACCAAGCTTCCATAAAACCCTCAAAGGATAGAGTTCACGGACCTTCTGGATAGTTCAACATTTGGAGATTTGGGGAGAGCAGCACACTTGGAAAAGACATTGAAACTTCATGCCCTTTCCCCATATTTTGTCCTATGCATCTCTTCAATCTGGCTGCTCCTGAGTTATAGTCTTTTATAATAAACCAGTGGCATGGTGCACGGATCCATTCACATCGAAAGGAAATTAATTAGAAGAAATATTTTAATATCGCTATTTGCCCTTTCTCTATAATAGAAGTGTCAACCAAATTCATAGTTGACAATGACAGATGGAAACATATGCGTGCAATTGGCGCCAGTGAGAGCTTTATATGTATAGAGTATGCGAGAGTCAACTTAGCCTTTTATATATATATATATATATATATATATATATATATATATATATATATATATAGAATAAACTTGCTTAATTAGACCTGCTTTCTGATTTAACTGAACTTTTTCCAGCCCAGTGAAGCATCCCAACTTCTCTTTCAGGTAACTGTCAGCAACAAAGCAGTAAAGATCAACACGAAGCAGGTTATTATTGTAGACTAGAGCCCGGTGCACAAAATGTGTGCACGGAGGGGAGTCCCTCAGC